GTGAATTGTCGCAATTAGAGCTTGCAATTGTTTGATTTTGACCTTCACATGTCGACTTCTTTGTGTTTCCATTGTTAGGGAAGTAGGAAAATAGAAGCACTGTCACTGGGATTTCGTGGATTCTTACGTGGACTTATTATTCTAAAGCATGATGAAATTGCTGATTTACCAAACTTAAGGTTCATTCAAGGGGAGGAGGGGTCCCTTGTAGGAGACTTCAAAGATCTCCTCTCTAATTTAAGATGGCTTTCTTGGCGATGGTGGCCTTCCAAGTTTGAGGCAACAAACTTTCATCCGACTAATTTAGTCGTTCTTGACCTTTCACGGAGCGATATTTCGGAGGAATGGGTTGGCTGGAACCAAATCAGAGTACGATACAAGTCCCCCTCCTTGCATATGCATATCGTTTCTTTTGTCATTTTTTTTCCTACAGGTCATTTTTTAATATATATTTTATCAAATTCTTTTGCAGGCAAATAAACTAAAAGTACTAGATCTCAGCTACTGCATCAAGTTAAGGAGAACACCTGATTTATCTACATGGGTGTCCTTGGAGAGATTGATTGTTAAAAGCTGTCACAACTTAATTGAAATTGACCCATCCATTGGTAAATTAAAACTCTTAATTGCTTTGAACTTGGAGGGATGTCAGTCTCTTCGAGTGTTGCCCGAAGAAATAGGATGTCTACGAGCTTTGACAAAGATTGTCGTGCCTAATACGCTATATGAACTTCCGAAGACGTTTGGTAATTTGCAGTCATTGTTGACCTTTGATTTACCAAATCGTCAGATTAGAAGACTGCCATACTCGATTGGAGGGTTTGGTGAAAATTACGCAGTTGGATTTATCTGAGTGCGTGATGATAAAGGAACTTCCAAACTCAATTGGGGAATTACAATCATTAGTTGAGTTGGATTTGTCATCGACAAGTATTGGTTGCCTACCTGATTCAATCGGCAATCTAAAGCAACTGAAAGTACTTAGGATGAGGAATGTAAGTGGGATAACAAAATTACCAGGTGCAATTGGGCTGCTGGAGAAGCTTGAAGAGTTAGACGCTCGTCAATGTTTCAACTTGACCGGTGACATCTCAAAAGAAATTGAGAGATTGTCCAGTTTGAGGATCCTAGACTTGTCATTCACGGGTATTTCCGGATTACCCACGACAATGAGTTGCCTCTCTAATTTCCAAATACTTAATCTAGAACCATGTCCTGTGCTTAAACAGTTGCCGGAGCTTCCCCAAAGTTTGACTTGCCTGAGATGGGCGCCCCATTGTGGATGGGAATCCTTCGGAGGCTTGACACGAGATGAGCTAACAAGAGCTCCTGCTCTTCCCATTAGATTTGGTACCATATCTCAGCTGGAAACACTTGTCACTGCTCTTCCCACTAGCATCAGTACCCTATCTCAGTTGGAAACACTAACATTGTCCTGCAAAAACGTGCAATTCCTCCCCCAGCTTCCGTCTAGTTTAAGAAAGTTACAACTTCGATATCTGGCGACCACACAATCCCCGGATTTTTCCAATTTGAAAAATCTGTCAATCTTGACATTCTATGGTTGTTCCATGCCGGAATTTTCTGGTATATTTGATGCGAAGTTGGAGGTCCTCCGTATTGACAACTGCACATTTAGAAAATTGGACGCATTGATTCAGTTGGAAATGGAAAGAATGAGATCTTTAACCATGTTGTGGTGTGAGTTCCTCCCAGAAGTATTTGATCTGTCGCGCATGAAGAATCTGCAAGACATAATTCTGCTAGATTGCAAGTTGTTAGTTGAGATTAGTGGCCTTGAAGAACTGGGATCCCTTTGCTCCCTGGGGGTCAAGAATTGCAGTTCCATGGAAAGGATGTCAGACCTATCGAAATTGAAAAAGCTTAGGAAGCTCAGCGTAGTAAACTGTCCAAAGCTAAGAAGCGTGGAAGGTCTAAACCACTTGGAATCTTTAAAGAGGCTGACGATTATTAATGCTGGAGAGTTTGGGGGTGACACCTCAAATTTGAATTTAGAATATTCTTGTATTAGGTGACACCTCTCAGGCTTTGTTGATGTCATGAGGGCATGTTTTATAAGTTCAGCAGATCCCCACATTCTCGGATTGTCCGGCAATTATGATGTTGTGTATGTGAGGAAGTCTGAACAGGACTTGTTTGTTGGGCAAGGAGTTCCAACGATAAATATTGATGACAAATACTGCCCTTCTCTGGACAAAGATTGAGAGGCCATTTGAAGATGAGTTATATAGAGAGTAGTACATTGCAAAGCTCGGCACATGAACTTGACCAACAATGACTTCGTCCTGGACCGGACGAGAGACCATGAAGAGCACTGCAAGGACGTGGAGGCGGAGCCAAACTGTTTGTCTTCTGGTGCGGATTAGGCTTACAAAGACCAAAATGAAGCTGAAGGCACGCTCAAATAATGCCAAAACTTGCGGTGTGGAACAGCAGTGTCCTCACTCTCGATGACTTCATCTGCAGTGGAAAGTAATTACTTCCTACATTGCCTCCATTTTGCTAACAAAACTGTTGTTGAGTTGTTTTGGATTTTGGTCCTTGAGTGGCTAGCGTTCTTATCTTAGTTATGTTTTCCATGGTCTCAAGGGTTCGGCTCCATAAGGTTCTGTCTCAGAGCTTTGATAATATGGCCTGGCCTCCTCAGACAAAAAAACGGGCAGGTACGATCCGTTGGAATCTATTCCTCTTTCCTTATGTAAGAAGAATTATGTATCAGGTTCAAAAGAATAATACAAAAAGAAAGTCAGAAGATGGAGTACATAAGATGACTTTTGTGTAAGAATAGTGGTGTGATTTCTCTAATTCACTCATTTGCAATAATAACTCGTACTCGATTCTAACTTTGCTTTCAAAATTGGCTTTAGAATAGGCCGTCTCTGTCAAACAGCTTTGGAATGTACAGAGATGAACAGACACCGGTTTTGCATGGGAGAGAGCTTGAAAGTCTCAAAGGGAGCTCTCAGCCTCAATCTTTCATTCTGGGCTACAAAGTATTTTGTTTGCTGCAAAAGGATTTTCTGGTCATGTAATAAATGCACTGCATGAATTGATTTCTATGCCATCGACAGTTTCAGTTGTTAAACTTCCCTCCACCATTCCAGTTTGATATCCTAGACCTTGTCGTCGAAGGAGTCATCACTTTTAGTACCTAATCACATTCTTAGTGGCAAGAAGGGACACCAAGTAAGAATGCAAACGTCACGGTACCTCGAAGCCCTGCAAGAAGCAAGGGATCTTAATTCAGTATCAGATGATCCATCTGACGGGGCAAAGATATGGAGAAGGCTATTGCTGAAGTTATTTCCGCCCCATTGAGCGTACCAAGTCTTCCGAAGTTAGTTGAATTCCTGAAAACCTGTAAATTACCCTGCAGCATATAATTAAAATTGAGCAATCTCATAAATCATACGTCATAAATTGCATTGTTGATCAGTTTTTTAGAGTACGTATATTACTAGTTCAGTCTAGCTAAATTATTGATTCCTGCTTACTCAGTCCGCACATAACGAAATTTCAATTTCATAAGTTCGTTGACTTGATTCAGGATAAGTATTGAATGATGTGGTGGTGTATATGCAAATGCAGTTTTACTATAGAGGATCTCCAATCTCAAGAATGAGACCTGTAAAGGAAATCCAATGGCATAACTAGAAAGTATTTGCCTATGACTGGATACCTTTTAGTTCATCTCTTCTTTTCTTTCTCCTTGCATCATTAACCTTGAAAGTGGTTGGTTCTCATAACGACAATAGGTTTAGAACCTTTTTAATAATTATCTAGTTCGTAGAGACCACCGACGGAGATCATATCTTCAAACTGTTTTTTATCTCTTGAATTACCCGAATGTGTTTTTTTTAATATGCTGTAAAACTTTGTAAATAAAGAAATATTGTAGTTTTGGGATGCATTGTTCTTCCTCGTGTTATGAGTAATAAATGTTAGGGGCCCTTGAAAGAGATACAATAAGTAAAATGTTGGTAGGATTCGTCCCTCTTTACTCTTCTGATGCAATCTTAGTGAGAAAGTTCTTTTCTTTTTCTTTTTTTCTATTTGTTTTTGTGTACGGCGGTTTGCTTCATTGTCAACTTTCCTTCACCTTTTACCAAGACTCACTGATTTATAGTTTACTTCATGATGTTTCCAAATCATTACCCAGAAACTATGTTAGGATTTATTTTATTGTTAAGTAGCTACCTTTTCGATTACCACCAATTTTTACTTGCAGTTAAACTACAAGCAAATGTTATTTTTCTTAGGCATGGCAAGAAATGCATACTTTCATCTTATTTGATTTTCTCGCAATATGGTGCTGTAATAACTGTCAACATGAACACATGATATTTGGTTGATCTCTAAAGACATGTGTAAGAAAATGCTCAAGCATTTGTTGCTATTGGGTTTTTGATCACTACGCAGGTTCGTTTCTTTCTAAACCTAACTCTTGAGAAATAGTGCAACATGATCATCTATTTTCTTTCTTGTTCAGCAATTTGTAGATTATTACATGTCTAAGATTGAGATGTAATCTTGCGTGACAGAGTCTGTGCTATTCGATTCATGAATTGATTACCTGTCTGTTGCTGCATATGATGATTTGATTCCATCCCATCTTATCTTTCTCGAAAGCCAAGTAAAAAAATTCATTTGACTATGACAAATTTCCTGATCAAAGTTGAGAATGACCATGTTTCATTGCTGAATTGCCATCTCAGACCTAAACTAGTGATGGTGATTTTGCCCGGATTTCACATCGTTGCATTTTCATATGAAGTCTAGGCTCAAGAAACGGACACTATGGTAAAGCTGCAGGAAATTATTCTTGTTGAGGGCTTGAAACTTGAAAATGTACCCACAGAAGCGTATAAAGTTCTTGTCTGCCTTTGAGATTGCTTGCTGCAGAAGGATCATCACCTATAAGATGGATCCTTATCAAATAACTTCTCCAAGAGAGTTTCATTCTTTTTGAAGGGAATTAATTTGACAACGATTGTTTTATCTACTAATTATTTTATATCGAAATGGTGTAGTTTCATATCTCCATCTTTGGAGTTACCAGTCAACCCATCAAATGTATGCGCACAGAAAAACTTACACACGATAGTAGTCCAACGAGATAAACAAGTAGTCATGAAAGACAGTTAAATCAGCAGTCAGCACCTAGAAACCTTCCATGATGTGATAGTATCCAGCAAAGACTACATGAGATTACAAACTGACATCAAGTTCCCACCCGTAATTTGCATGCAAACCTCCTGAACAAAGCAAGAAACATAACGACACGTGGATCACAATTCCAAACAGGGAGATTTAAGAAAGACATCGAAATCAAGAATTGTGAAGAATTGCCATCGGGAAACTCATAAATACCTGACATAGATGTCGATGGTTTTGCCGTTCCATGATCTGTTATTTGCCGACTAAACTATTTGTTCTTCTTACCACCACCAGCCCGGAATTCTTGTTAGTTGCTGCTTTGGCAATATTCTCAGGGGTTTCCAATTGCATGGATGACAATAATATACAATTTGCATAAGTGACATATACGTATCGTAAAATGTACAATACATGGAAGAAATGGAATCCTTTAAACAGCAAATAAACAACACTCTAAAAGGAACACTGGTTAATATTGACTCTGCCCGACAAGAAGTACCCCTCTCATTCTAGCATAGAGGGCAAGCTTCATCCATCCAATAAAAATTTATACAACTCTTCCAAAATGGCAGTACCATAAGACATGACCCGTTTTTTAGGAAAGGAAAACGTCAACTTGCTTCCAACAACGCGCAAAAACAGCATCTACAAGTCAGGACTCGCTCAATAAATAGGGTTCTTACATTCACCAACATTTAGCTTTACGTCGAGAGGCAGACAACTGTCAATGGCCATTTGAAGTTCCTCAAACCCAGGACAATGGTTGGCATCTTAAAGATGCCAAGGAACCAGGGCAGGAAATTTACAGAGACATGTGTAGAGAGTGTCTTAGGCTTGAATGCCAGATTGGGGGATTGAAGTGTGCATTTGCTTCCCTGTCATCCAGTGCAATTACGGTAGTTAATCAGGCCGAAACTCTTAACAGATCCGTATAAGCAGGCTGGTGCTTTTGTTTATCTAATTGATTTCATGAATAGGGTGGTGCAACACCATTAGCACATCCGTAAAGTTATATGAGAGTAATCGGGCATAAGCAGCAGTGGCATGGCAACATACTACCGTTGATTTACAACACTATCACCAAAAGGTTAAAAATGATCACAAAGATCTAATCATTTGTGCATCGCTAGGGCAATCAATGGCTTATGAAGTGAGTTAAAGGGAATACTATTCATCCATCAAAAGTAGCATATGAAGATATCTCTTCACTAGACCAACATGTGACATTACACCTTCACATACATTAAAAGAAGGAAAGTCCTGGTGCTCGGTACTCAAAGATATCAAGATGACATACCTTCCTCTTAGCAGGTACAGATGGATTCTTAGCTGGCTTAAAGAAGGGTTCTAATCTGTAGAAAATAAATGAAAGGAATCATCAGATAAAAGAAAGTGCATTTTGGAAGTTTTCAATTGTTCAAGCTTTAGTTACCGGCCTTGTGATGACTTATCCTTAGCTGCCTTAATCTTTTCTATCGCCTGATACCCATGGCAAAACAACATTGAAAACATGGATGCTCTCTCCTTCAGAGGAAAAGAAGCAACTTCCTCGAGTAGGCAACTGACCAACACATTACTGAAGATAGAAGTCATACCTTCGTCACTCTGTCAATGTTGAACCCATTCTCATTCACGAGAAAGGAAATTAAGTCCTTGAAAGGGAAAGAACAATTAGTTAGGAAACGAGTTGAGAATTCAAAAAGTGAAATGTTGCAAGTAAATCCCAACATGAAAACAGCCCACCTCCCCATTTGGAGCAGTCCATTTTATCTCATGTTGTTCTTCCGTAGAAACTATTGGTTCCTTGAAAAGCAGGTGAGCTTCGATATAGGGCCCATTATCTGGTATCTGCTACCTATTTAAAAACAAGCAAACATTTCCTTAAGAAGGATAACCGAACTCAATAAAGACTTCCAAGTAATGAAAAAAACCTCTGGGTTTAAGGATAGAGAAACGATACGATTTTGTTCAAGTGAGAGAGAAATAACAGACAAAGCAGACATCGGAATAGATAAAAGTATTATAGTAAATCAGCACATGAAGTAGCATGGTTGATGCACTAATTGCCAGCCCAAATCTGCTAGTGGCAAATGATCTCTCAGCTTCAAATTGTTGATCAAATATATGCACGCCAGCTGAGTATGAGAGATAATTCTTTTAAGTCAAGGAATCCAGCAGACAAGACTATTATAGTGAGAAACTTTGCTGCCTTATTTTGCTTACAAGTCGGGGGGACAAGATAAGAGAATAAGAAGCACCTTTGCTTGTTTATGTTCTCTAGTATGTTTTCTATGGAACCATGTTGACGGATGAGCTTAAGAGTAGTCAGCCCTTCAATACCTAATAAATTCATTCCAAAGTAAATCCACCGAAATCATCAAGCTAAAACATACGAGAGGGGAGAATGATACACAATGGCATAAAACAGTTAACAGTAGGCACTGCAGTAATATCACGTCTACCTTGAATGCTTTCACAATAAACACATCCAGAGAGAATCCACAGGTCAATGAATTGATCTATATTCAGATTCATATCCTCCAAGATCTAAAAGTCATGAAAGTGAGAAAAAAAAGATTAACCAATCGCAATGAATATACTTTTCTAAGTACCTTGGAAATTTCAAATTCCATGACTGGAACTTTTCTTGAGTTGCGATCCATCAAATGGCGAAGAAATATAGGAGCTCCAAAAGTAAGGGAATCCATATCTTCATATGCAACTGGATAAACCTGAAAAACAAAAATTAAAGCTAAAGCACCATTCACAATGGATGAATTCTGGTTACCACGCAACAATTACGCAATGATAGGAATTTGAAGTCAGCGAAAATTCCTTGGACAAAGATGACTTGGTAAAGAACGTACCAAATGTAAATGACTACGCAGAAGGACATTAGACAAGTGAACAAGCATATGTGTGAGTGAAAAAGGAAATTAAACATGCAAACAAAATATGTCATTTCTGTAGAGGTAGGCGATTGGATTATTATGGGAAAACAATGAATTATTCTAAATCAGAAGACTATAAATAGGAAGATACGTGCCTTTCCAGCTTTGCAAAGTTCAGCACATTGTGCCTCTGCTTCTGAAGGGGCCTAACATACATAAACTGAATCTGGTATCTAACATTTTTGTTAGGAATAAAGAAGAATGAACTTCTCAGACAGAATAGCAACCTCAACTACTGGGACACCCATAAGTCTTAGTAGTTTTTTGCAGTCTTCATTGTGCTGTTGTTTCACCTACAATGGTATCAAAGCCATGTACCACAAGTGCACACACACCCAGTTAGCTACATAGATAGGTTTTTCTGGAAAACAGAGACAACATCAAACTTCTCATTGGATAGAACGAAAATATCACATTGTAAGGAAGTGATCGAAACAAAGACCAACCTTCACAGTTCTCTTGCTGAATTTCTCTCTGTCTTCCTTGTTCTGCGACTGTAGGCAATAAATACAGAGCTCACTAAGCCTTCTTGTACTCTGTGTTTCTTCGTGCTTTTGTGAATGTGCGTGAGAGAGAGAGAGAGAGAGAGAGAGATGCTTATACCGCAATGGCTACTGCCAAGTCCTCAGAGGCATCTGCCCTCTTCAAAAAACTGCTCAGAGACTCATTAAATGTAACTAAACGTAATCATAGATAATTAAAAAAAATGAGAGACGAGAAGGCTAGATAATAATAAAGTACCGTTTTGCAATCTCTTGCTTCTTCAAATCAGGAGGTTGACCATCAAATACGTAGCTATCATAACAACCGCAAAGCATATCAGAGAAAGATGAGCTTCATTCTTCTAGCACTCTATCCCAATGAAAACAGAGGAGGTAAAGAAGAAGACTTACACTGGCTGTATCCTCGCTTCCAATAGCCTAATCGTCCGGTAAAGCAAGCCTTGCAGATGACTACATGGGACAACAAATCACAAAGCATCAACACTTTCCAAGCACAAAGATGACATCGCAAGTACAAAATAATGTGAGACGCGTCGATCTAATATACATAAACCCGAGTCCAAGCAATAACATCTGAAGCATCAAAACAGAAACTTGAGCAAAGTGGATTTTCATTTCCATGGAGTATTGCGATGCCAGTAGTAGTACCTGGTCACTTCACCAGCCTCATTGGTGAGCATTTGAGTCCCCTTCGTCCCAACCACAACCTGATCCACCAATCAAAGACCAAAAGAACCCCCGACACCGAAATGTGCAATCAATCACAGGCATCAATCCATTAAAAGCAAAGCACTTAACGAGGAACTGATAGATGCTCATGGTAGCATCGACGGCGATCCTCCTGCCGAAGTAGCTCTCCAGCGTCTGCTCCTTCATCGCCTTCGGGGCATTGTCCGCCAGTAGCTTCGTCAGCCCCTACCGAAATCAACGGGCGATTCAATTAACAAACATATTGGAAATGATCGGATTGAAGAAGGAGGAGGTCGGAACTACCTTGATGCCCATTTCCGGAGAGAGAAGAGGATTGCAGTGGAAATTGAGGATGAAATTGAATTCTAGGGTTCGAGCTCTTCTGTCTTCCCGCCTAACTTGGAGACCAGCGCGTGTGGAGGTGGAGAAGCGTGTGACCCACGCGCCAGGTGTCGCGAGTGGGAGCGCTGATAATCTAATAGCGATAATTAATCGCAACGTCACCAATTTCATCAGCTGCACCTGACCTATCATCTCCTTTACTAGTGTGCTTAATCTCCGAATTTTCACGATAAATAATAATTTAAGAGGGAGATCTGGAATCGATTCTCTTTGTAGGTGCTCTTGGCCTATTTGGATTAGCAACCGTTATGACAAGTCGCGAAAGCACGCCGTGATATGCACATATTGAACAATGGGTCGCCATCCTAGGCATTTCCCACGTCCCAATCATTTAATAATAAATGTTAAATCGGAAATCCACGGATTTAAAAATATGGAGGATATAAAGAGAAATTGGTATACAAAGTGAAGGTGATTTTTGAGCTTTTCTTTATTTTAACCATATCAGAGAAGATTTAAAAGAAACAAACTGAAGGGTTTGATGTATATATATATTTTACGTAATATCGTCGGACATCCAGATTACATGAATTGTGCGAATTTCATACCGAGTTCCACTGTTAAACACAAGTTTTAGCATAATTATTGTATTGTGATTGTTTTTTTCTAGTCGCGTCACTTATAATAAGTCTATACGACATTTTCACGGTAAATAAGGGTCCCTCGTCTCGCAATGCTAGATTGAGGAAGACTTCGGACTTCACCAAGCTTTTCTTTTCTGCCTCTTCTTTTGAGTAGGTTTTTGTCGTGGGTTTTTCTCCGTTATCAATGAATTGGAAGCTCTTGATGTTTCAAGCAATAAAGCTTTCGGGAAGGATCCCTCCGGAAGAACAAACACAACTCACTTCCCTAAGCTTTCTTCAATGTGTCAAGACAACCATCTCTCGAGAGTTACTATTAGCATTTTACGTGATTTTCAATCACCTTCGAAACAATAATAATAAACGTGAAAAATATTATTATGCACAATGTAACCGAAAAATAGATTTTGATTTACATGTGACCGAAAGATAAAGCAGTTAGGACTTGATCATTTGCAAAATATGCACAATGTAACTGGGCTCTTACACCTACCGTGTGAGTTAACCATTTTCACTGTGGCATATACTCTATCAACAAATATAGGTGGACCAAATCAATGGTTGAATTTTCATTTACCTTAATGTACTATACACATAGGTAAATGACCCAACAGATGATAGGATTTATACTACACAAATAAATAAAATATATGATCTGTTTAAAGATCATATTACAATTTACTTATATACATTATAAGCTATGGTATACTATATGTCCATTTAAATTTTGCATGCATTAGCTAATTCCAGTTTCTTGGTAACTCCTCTGCTTCTCCATGCAAATTTATTTTATGATTGCTGGCTCTTTCTAGCATCCAATTTTCAGTTCCTAACATGATAATGTTCTTATGGTGTTTCGAAATAATCCTCCTAAATTATGTTATGTAATTTGTTAATTTGGATATGACTCGATGTAAGAGAATAAACAAGTTAAATTTGTAATTGGAGTTTTGATATGATTTGTTAGTAACATAAGTGGCAACAAATCGAAGTCATCTACTAACTATTCAATATCAAGCTGGTGTAGTTTCGTATCTCCATCTTCCGAGTTATCAGTCAATCCATCAAATGTATGCGCACTGAGAAACTTACACATGAAACACACGATAGTAGTCCAACAAGATAAACAAGTAGTCATGAATGAAAGTTAAATCAGCATTCAGCACCCATAAACCTTCCATGATATGATGGTATCCAGCAAAGGCTGCATGAGACTACAAACTGACATCAAGTTTCCACTCGTAATTTGCATGCAAACCCCCTGGATAAGGCAAGAAACATAACGACGCATACATCACAATTCCAAGCGGGGAGATTTAAGAGAGAAATTGAAATCAAGAATTGTGAAGAATCGCCATTGGGAAACTCACAAGTACCTGACATAGATGTCGATGGTTTTGCTGTTCCATGATCTGTTATGTGCCAACTAAACTATTTCTTACCACCACCAGCCTGGAACTCTTGTTAGTTGCTGCTTTGGCAATATATTCATGGGTTTCCTGTCGCATGGATGACAATAATATACACATTGTATAAGTGACATATACGTATCGTAAAATGAACACTAAAATGCAATTTGCCCGACAAGAAGTACCAATCTCGTTCTAGCATAGAGAGCAAACTTCATCCATCTAATAAAAATTTATACAAATCTCTTCCAAAATTGCAGTACCATAAGACATGACCCGTTTTTTAGGAAAGGAAAGCATCAACTTGCTTCCAACAATGGGCAAAAACAGCATCTACAAGTCAGGACTTGCCCAATAAATAGGGTTCTTACATCCACCATCATTTAGCTCCATGTCGGGAGGCAGACAACTCTCAACGGCTGTTTGAAGTTCCTCAAACCCAGGACCATGGTTGGCATTTTAAAGTTGCCAAGGAACCTGTGCTGGAGATTTACAGAGACTTGTGTAGAGCATGTCTTAGGCTTGAACGCCAGATTGGGGGATTGAAGTGTGCATTTGCTTTCCTGTCATCCATTGCAATTATGGTTGTTAATCAGGCCGAAATTCTTAACAGATCCGTATAAGCACGCTGGTGCTTTTGTTTATCTAATTGATTTCATGAATAGGATGATGCAACACCATTAGCACATCTGTAAAGTTATATGAGACTAATCGGGCATAAGCAGCAGTGGCATGGCAACACACTACCGTCGATTTACAACACTACCACCAACAGTTTAAAAATGATCACAAAGATCTAAAAATTTGTGCATCGCTAGGGCAATCAATGGCTTATGAAGTGAGTTAAAGGGAGTACTATTCATCCATCAAAAGTAGCATCTGAAGACATCTCTTTGCTAGAGCAATGTGTGACATTACACCTTCACATACATTAAAAGAAGGTAAATTCTAGGTGCCCAGTACTCAAATATATCAAGATGACATACCTTCCTCTTAGCAGGTATAGATAGATTCTTAGCTGGCTTAAAGAAGGATTCTAATCTGTAGAAAATAAATGAGGAATCATCGGATGAAAGAAAGTGCATTTTGGAAGTCACTTTCATTTATTCAAGCTTTAGTTACCGGCCTTGTGATGACTCATCCTTAGCTGCCTTAATCTTCTCTATCGTCTGCTACACATGGTAAAACAACATTGAAAACATGTATGCTCTCTCCTCCAGAGGAAAAGAAGCAACTTCCTCGAGTAGGCAACTGACCAACACATTACTGAAGATAGAAGCCATACCTTTGTCACTCTGTCAATGTTGAACCCATTCTCATTCACTAGAAAGGACATTAAGCCCTTGAAAGGGAAAGAACAATCAATTAGGAAATGAGTCAAGAATTCAAAAGTGAAATGTTGCAAGTAAATCCCAACATGAAAATGGCCCACCTCCTCATTTGGAGCAGTCCATTTTATCTCAGGTTGTTCTTCCGTAGAAACTATTGGTTCCTTAAAAAGCAGTCGAGCTTCGCCATAGGGCCAATTATCGGGTATCTGATACCTATTCAAAAAACAAGCAAACATTTCCTTAAGAAGGATAACTGAACTGAATAAAGACTTCCAAGTAATGCAAAGAACCTCCGGGTCTTAAGGATAGAGAAACGAATTTTGTTCAAGTGAGAGTGAAAGAATAGACAAAGCAGACATCATAATAGATAAAAGTATTATAGTAAATCAACACATGAAGTAGCATGGTTGATGCACTGATTGCCAGCCCAAATCTATTGGTGGCAAATGATCAATCAATCTAAAACATATGAGAGGGCAGAATGATATACGATAGCATAAAATGGTTGACACAACACCGCAATAATATCATGTCTACCTCGAATGCTTTCACAATAATCACATCCAGAGAGAATGCACAGGTCAATGAATTGATCCATATCCAGATTCATCTCCTCCAAGATCTAAAAGTCATTAAAGTGAGAAAAAAAAAATTTTAAGCAATCGCAATGAATAAACTTTTCTAAGTACCCTGGAAATTTCAAATTCCATGACTGGAACTTTTCTTGAGCTGGGATCCATAAAATGTCGAAGAAATCTAGGAGCTCCAAAAGTAAGGGAATCCATATCTTCAGAAGCAACTGCATAAACCTGAAAAACAAAAATTACAGCTAAAGCACCATTCATGATAGACGAATTGTGGTTACCACACAACAATTAAGCAATGATAGGAATTCGAAGTCAGCGAAAATTGCTTGGACAAAGATGATTTAGTAAAGAACGTACCAAATGTAAATGACTACGCAAAAGAAGACATTAGACAAGTGAACAAGCATAAGTTCAGTGGATCCCATAAAAACTTCTTTCGAGGAAACAAGTGACTACGCAGAAGAAGACATCAGACAAGTGAACAAGCATAAGTTCAGAGAACAAGCAAATTAAATCATGGAAGTATGATGGTAATTTACATAGAGTTAAACGATTGGTTATCATGGGAAAACAATGAACTATATCCTAAATCAGAAGACGATCAAACAGGAAGATACTTGCCTTTCCAGCTTTGCAAAGTGCAGCACATTGTGCCTCTGCTTCTGAAGGAGCCTAACATACAAAAACTGAATTTGATATCTAAACTTTTTGTTAGAAATAAAAATGAACAAACTTTTCAGACAGAATAGTAACCTCAACTAGTGGAACACCCATAAGTCTTAGTAGTCTTTTGCAATCTTCATTGTGCTGTTGTGTCACCTGCAAGGGTATCAAAGCCATGTACGGCAAGTTCACACACATCTGGTTAGCTACGTAGATAGGTTTTTCTGGAAAACAAAGACAAAATCAAACTTCACATCGAACAGGACAAAAACATCGCACCGTAAGGAAGTGATCAAAACAAAGACCAACCTTCACAGTTCTTTTACTGAATTTCTCTATGTCTTCCTTGTTCTGAGACTGCAGGCAATTAATACAGAGCTCACTAAGCCTTTTTGTACTCTGTGTTTCTACATGCTTATGTGAATGTGCATGAGAGAGAGATGCTTATACCAAAATGGCTACTGCCAAGTCCTCAGAGGCATCTGCCCTCTTCAAAAAACTGCCCAGAGACTCAATTAAGGTAACTAAACGTATCCATAGATAATTCAAAGAAACAAGAAAAGAGAAGGCTACATAATAATAAAGTACCATTTTGCAAGCTCTTGCTTCTTCAAATCAGGAGGTTGACCATCAAATACGTAGCTATCGTAACAAACAGTAAAGCATAATTCAGAGAAAGATGAGCTTCACTCTTCTTAGCATTCTATCCCAATGAAAACAGAGGAGGTAAAGAAGAGTATTTTACACTGGCTGTATCCCCGCTTCCAACAGCCTAATCGTCCGGTAAAACATGCCTTGCAGATGACTACATGGGAAAACAAATCACCAAGCATCATCACTTTCTAATCACAAAGATCACATATACATAAACCCGAGTCCAAGCAATAACATCTGAAGCATCAAAGCAGAAACTCGAGCAAAGTGGATTATCATTTCCATGGAGTATTCCGATGCCAGTAGTAGTACCTGGTAACTTGACCAGCCTCATTGGTGAGCATCTGAGTCCCCTTCCTCCCAACCACAACCTGATCCACCAATCAAAGACAAAAAAAAACCACCAACACTCAAAATCCAAATCCCCGCCGACACCGAAACGCACAATCAATCACAAGCATCAACTCATAAAAAGCAAAGCACTTAACGAGGAACTGATAGATGCTCATGCTGGCATCGACGGCGATCCTCCGGCCGAAGTAGCTCTCCAGCTTCTGCTCCCTCATCGCCTTAGGGGCATTGTCCGCCAGTAGCTTCGTCAGCCCCTATCGAAATCAACGGACGACTCAATCAACAATGAAGAAGAGGGAGGTGGAACTACCTTGATGCCAATTTTCAGAGTGAGATGAAATTGCAGTGGAAATTGAGGATGCAATTGAATTCTAGGGTTCAGTCTCTCCCGCCTTCCCGCCTAATTTGGAGACCAGCACGCGTGGGGGTGAAGCGTGTGAGTCACGTGCAGGTGTCATGAGTGTTTATTTTTTTATTTTTGTTAGTACCAACGATAAACTTTTGGACATAAAACTTAAAAATTATCAGCGAAGCTAAATTTTTTCTTGTGAATTTTTTTTATGCTCCACCTTTTGTGTTTTATTGCGCTACGATTCATGCGACGAAGTATCTTAAGTTTGAGCTTGAAATCCCCCTCAAGGTTTTCCTAAAAATGATTATTTTTATAGCCCTGAAAAATTAGTCAATAGAAAATATATTCGTTATCAACAACATTCTTTGTCTAAATATTTTGGTTGACGATGAAGATATATTTCGTTTATTTATTTTTTGTAAGCAATTCATGAAATCAGTTTCCGAAGAAAAGTTTACAAATTGTTGATTTTCCGTGATACAAATGCTCACATGTAAAAACTTATTAAACTAGTAGTTGGCTAAACATAGAAGAGGAATAATAATGATTCTAAATTCAAAATTAATCGCGGCACAAATTTTAGAGTCGTTATTTATATAATAAATTATGTTGCTAATCACGTGTCTTAGAAATAATTATGTATTTGTTAATATAGAGCTTCAATAAAAAAAAATTTGAAAACGATATTGATTTAAACTTGAGATGTCCATATACGAATTGACCACGTATTAACAATAACATACTTGTCATTTTTTGTGTTGGAAGATCACTAATATTTGAGATAGGAAATCAATGTATGTTTTTTATAAAAAGAAAAAATATCAATTAAACGGACGTTGATCCAAAACTAGGCATTGAATCTCAATGGAGAAATCGTCCAATCAGTCCTGACCCTGTTGTACGAATGTTGAGTCAATTCTGAAATTTCAAATTTTGCTAATTTAGTCCTAAACATTTGCTCGAAATTCCAATGTAGTCATGCTAGGCAATTTTCGTTGGAAATTGGTGATGTTGCGTTATGCCACGTAGGATGCCCGATCAATGACTAGACTATCAAAATTGACTAAAAAGGACTACATTGAAATTTTCAGTAAATGTTTTAAGACAAAATTGATAAAATTAAAAAGTTTAGGACCGAATCGATATTCGTATAATAGTTTTAAGACTAATTGGGCAATTTTCCCGAATCTCGACCATCCACAATCACCATAATGTCCACAAACCAACTGTTCATCATCATAGTGAGCTTCATTTTTCATTATATTAATTATTTAACCAAGACATAATAGCCGAAATAATTTACGTATCCGAATAACTTCTTCATTCGAATAACATATATCAGCAAGTAAATCCAATTTACTGATAGAACTTCAAATTTTGAGTAATGTATATTATTCTATAAAGTAAAGATGGTCTTTTACTATTTGATCCCTTTGAATTCCATTTTCATATCCGCGATTGCATCTATAGGAATTACAATTTTCTTTTCTTTTCTTTTCTTTTCTTTTCAAAATATCTTCAATTAGTTATTTTGTAAGTATTTTAATGGACAAATGCATATACTTATAATTATTTTATCTCAAGCGCACTTCATATAAAATTTGAATCGTTTTTATCTCATGAACATTCATTACCCAAAAAAGTTTAAATCTTGAAATATTTTCCTTTTACACATCTGTGTACATTGTACAGTTTCTCATATTTTGTAAACAATTTCTAGCTACTAATTAACAATTGAAATATTTTATAGTAGGCGATTTTGCAAAATCTTTTAAACGACAATATGTTGCAAACACGCAGGGCATGTGCATTCTTACTAGTGCTATTGGTACTAAGATGGCAATCCTTCCCAAATGGCATGACAATTTATGTGGCATTGTCTCATTAATGAGCCTCAGGACAGCAACCCCTATAAGCTCAATTCAAAGTGAATTCAATGTCTCATCTGGAACATCAATCTACTAAAAGTCTAAAACTAAACTATATCAAAGGTACTCACTACAATCACTAAACTATATGTACGCTAATTAAACGAAGCTAAACTAAATCAGTGCTTAAACTTGACGACCTAATCAAGGTCTCTGTTTCTAACCACTTTCCAATTTTTCATTTTTTAATTATTTTTTTGTTTTCTATTTTCCTCATGCACCCATTGAAAGTCTGTGCGATTAGTTTTTGAATTTTCTAATTTCCTCGTGCTAATGGGCGCCCGCGATGGAGCTTCAAGCCAGAGCAAACCACTTCAAGCTCACTCGGCCAAATAGCAAGGGAGAACAGAGCATGCAGCCGGCTCCGAAATGGCAAGGAATGAGCGATGATTCTCCGGCGACCAAAAACATCACAGATAGGAGTCGAGAAAACTGAGGGATTTGCTCAAAACCGAGAGGATTTCCTTTTTATAGTGAGTGTTCGGCTCTCGTTTTCTGTGACCACTCTCTGTCTTCAGTGCTCTCAGGTCATAAGTCTTGAAACTCCGGCGATCGACGATGATGGAAAGCAAGCAACACAAGAGATCACGTTCAGAAAAATTGCCAATTTCAGTGTAGATCAGCCCGAAAAGAAAGCTTTTGCTACACCTCGCGCGCGTGTTTTCGCTTCCTATGTTCCAAGATAAGCCGAAAGAAGGAGAGAGGCCGGGCCTCTCCCTTTCGTGGGATCTGATTCTTGTGGGCCTGTTTCAGTAGGGGGCCCTCTTCTGGGCCTTTTATATTCTAGATTGGATGTTTACATTTGAATGGGCCAGGGGATTGACTAGGCTCCGAAATTAATGGACCTGAGCGAGTGACGTGAATTGAACTTGATAGATGGATTAAGAACCTAATGGGTTTAGGTTAGAAAGTATTGGGCTTAATTAGAGCTTTATTATTATTATAATTCATAAAAGTGAAATTGAGTCGTAACACCTACAAAAAGCACGATCAAATTCTAAAACTTGTCAAATTGGTGCAATCAAGTCATTCCGTTTACTTCGTCCAACTTGGCTAACGGAAAATACCGACGTGGCTTTTTATTATTATTTTATCTATCCTACGTGAGGGCGACATGGCTGAAACATGAAATATAATGCTAAAGAGACATCATTTTGGTCAAAATCTGATTTTTTAATAAAATTCTATTTAAATTATATTAAAAAATAAGAAATTTTTAAAAAATGATAAAAAAAAATAGAAGGAAAAAAAGGAGGAAGAAGCAGGTGAGCCGCCCCACCATTACTGGGAAGGGCCGGGGCCCGGTGACCCTCGCTGACCTTTTGTATCGAGGACGATAGTAACACAACCTTTCGAACGTGCCATAAAAAGCCTAACCTTTTTACCCACGGAACAGAACTGACACCCCATTACAAATTCCGTCCATCATCTTTGTTAAATCGCCAAGGATACCCTACATAGTGAGCCACGTCAACCAACACAAAATCTTAGTGTATAATCTGTGTTATCAAATTTCTAGCATTTTGTATGAAAAAAAAAATCGTCTGTGGTCATGATTAATGTGGTTCATTGAGCATGTTAGCATAATGAGCCGTGTAGGATGACGCGTGGCGATTTAAGGTGGGAATAGATAGAATTCGCAATAGTTTTTTTATTTATCCTATGAGTGAAAGGTTGAGCTTTTCTCTTGGGAAGTTTGAAAAGTTGCATTATTTTCATCCCCGCATGCAAAGAGTTAGGTTCAAAAGGCAGTGGGTTTTTTTTTTGTTTGGCTGTATACTTACTAATACACAAGGAGCGAATTGTGAATGTGTTTCGATGGTTTTGCGTTATTTTGGCTTTAAAGCCTCTCCCTGCTTTGGACGAATTACACTTCTCTCTCTCTCTCTCTCTCTCTCTCTCTCTCTCTCTGCTGTGGGTTGAGCTCTGCCTTATAGAAAACATGGGCTTGGGCCTTCTCACTCAAAGTCGCTGGCGAGTGCATGAGAAACAAATAGGCCAACACCAGCGAACGAAACCTTCAGATTCCGATTAGCAAAGATGTTGATTAATCCTGAACCTGTCAGTACTTGACAAGGAAGGACAACATGGAGGAAGCACATGGCGTGGGACCTAAGTTGGGAAAAACAACTCTCATTAGATCCGAAAGTGTAGAAATGTTGCATTAAATAACGTACCTCATAAATTCATAAATCTTTTCGGGTGTAGATCCGAGTACACCGACAAAAATTTTAATATTAAAGTTATTATTCATAATGATTCAAAGAGCGGATGAAATGCTTCTTGAAAAGTATCGAATTCCTTGAATTAAGACCAATGAAAGATCGAATTCGTTTTCAATAGCTTTAGCTTTGATTAACAAGACTTTTGTTTTACTAATCGAAAGTCCAAAAGTATTGTTGCAAAATTTTGAAGTCAGATTTTTTATTTTGTAGCGCATATGCATCTCATTAAGGAATCTGAATAGTTTTTGTTTTTGTAGGTAATGGGTAGTTAGTAGTAAGCTCTTAATATTTCGAAGGAGAGCACTGAATTCAAGTTTTTGGCTTTATGTTAGTATAAATAGAGAACATTTAGCACTTCAATTAAACTTTTTTCAACCATAGAAATTTAAGATCTCTAAATTCCACAAATTTTGCAAAAGCTAATTCCTTATTTATATAGTACCGTTTATAGCATAATTAATCTTTTGGATTACTATGATTCTAAAAAGTACTTTTATTACAAACATATTGAGTTTATCTTTATATTTTGAGATCATTAATTGTGAATTTACTTCTCAATTTTTGTTACAAGATTGAATTATGCTTCCATTAAAAGTCAGCGAGTGTTGGTCCACAATCGCATAAAAAATTCAAACTCGTCAACCACATGCTCATAGTCGTCGTCTTCTTGTGGTGGAAATTTCAATGCACAAAAGAACCCAAGGCGATACCCCAGGAAGAAACAAACATCCTAGGAAATTTCGATGCAG